CCTCAATAAACTCTTTTAGCGTTTGAAATACGTCTTCGCCGCGGGTAGTAGTGGGCAAAGACTTGCAGAACAAATATTTCTCCTTTACATCGTCATCTTTAAAGCATCGTGAAAACATCAATAATTGTGAACACGAAACAACATCTGTGGACTCGTCCACTTGCAGCGCAAACATAGGACTTTCCTTTATTTTGTTTACCGTACTATTATTTTGTTTATTGCTATTTTAATACTATTTCGTGCCACCCTTTGTTACCCCTCTAGAATCTTTGTTTTACCCTTGCGGGGGTAATTACCCCCAGGTTGGGAACCACTGCATTAGATGATTCCGGCCGGGATCGAACCGGCCGCCTTCTGCGTGTTAAGCAGATGTGATAACCACTACACACGGAACCTACAAAAATAAAACGCATTTGCAGCACGCATCGCCAATATTAATAAAGCTTAGAATAAATATTGAAGACTTCGATGTATGATTCATCGTGAGATTGCACCGACAGTCAATAAACCACCAAAAGTCTCTATTGGATTTGAATAAATATAGAGGATTTTATTATATGATTCCGGCCGGGATCGAATCGGCGGCCTTCTGCGTGTTAAGCAGATATGATAACCACTACACCACGGTACCTACAAAAACAAAACGCATTTGCAGCTATATTGAAGACATCGATGTAAAATTCATCATGAGAATGCACCGACAATCTTATGTTTTGATTAATGTAGAAGACTTCATTAGATGATTCCGGCCGGGATCGAACCGGCGGCCTTCGCGTGTTAAGCAGATGTGATAACCACTATACCACGAAACCTACAAAAACAAATCCCATTTGCAGCAATATTGAGGACATTATGAGATTGCACCGACAATCAATAAACCACCAAAACCCTTTATTCGTTTTGATAAATATAGAGGATTACATTAGATGATTCCGGCCGGGATCGAACCGGCGGCCTTCTGCGTGTAAAGCAGATGTGACAACCACTACACCACGGAATCTACAAATATAAATCGCATTTGCAGCACGCATCGCCAATATTTAATAAAAGCTTAAAATAAATAATGAAGACTTTGATGTATGATTCATCGTGGGATTGCACCGATAGTCAATAAACCACCAAAATTCTTTATTTGTTTGGAATAAATACAAAGGATTTCATTAGATGATTCCGGCCGGGATCGAACCGGCGGCTTTCTGCGTGTAAAGCAGATGTGATAACCACTACACCACGAAACCTACAAAATTAAAACGCATTTGCAGGCAGCATCGCCAATATTCAATATAAGCTTAGAATAAATATTGAGGACATCGATGTATGATTGACATCATGGGATTGCACCGACAATCAATATATCACCAAAAATCTTCATTGGTTTTGAATTAATATAGAGGATTTTATTACATGATTCCGGCCGAAATTGAACCGGCGGCCTTCTGCGTGTGAAGGAGATGTGATAACCACTACACCACAGAACCTACTAAAATAAAACGCATTTGTAGCACGCATCGCCAATATTTAATAAACGCTTAGAATAGATATTGAAAAATTTGATGTATGATTTATCATGGGATCGCACCAACAATCAATTTACCACCAAAACCCTTTATTGGTTTTGAATAAATACAGAGGATTTCATTACATGATTCCGGCCGGGATCGAACCGGCGGTCTTCTGTATGATTTATGATTTATCATGGGATGCACCGACAATCAATAAACCACCAAAAACCTTTATTCGTTCTGAATAAATATAGATTATTAAATTTGATGATTCCGGCCGGGATCGAACCGGCGCCCTTCTGCGTGTTAGAGATGTGATAACCACTACACCACGAAACCTACAAAAATAAAACGCATTTGCAGCACGCATCGCCAATATTTAATAAGAGTTTAAAATAAATATTGGTGATTTCGATATATGATTCATCGTGGGATTGCACCGACAGTCAATAAACCACCAAACGCCTTTATTGGTTTTGAATAAATAAAGAGTATTACATTACATGATTCCGACCGGGATCGAACCGGCGGCGTTCTGCGTGTTAAGCAGATGAGATAACCACTACACCACGGAACCTACAAAAATAAAACGCATTTGCAGCACGCATCGCCAATATTTAATAGAGCTTAGAATAAATATTGAGAACTTTGATGTATGATTTATCATGGGATTGCATCGACAATCAATAAACCACCAAAACCCTTCATTGGTTTTGAATAAATACAGAGGATTTCACTACATGATTCCGGCCGGAATCAAACCGGCGACCTTCTGCGTGTGAAGCAGATGCGATAACCACTACACCACGGAACCTACAAAAACAAAACGCATTTGTAGCACGCATCGCCAATATTTGATAAAAGCTTAGAATAAATATTGAGAACTTTGATGTATGATTTATCATGGGAATGCACCGACAATCAATAAACCATCAAAACCCATCATAGGCTTTGAATAAAATATAGGATTTCATTAGATGATTTCGGCCGGGATCGAACCGGCGGCGTTCTGCGTTTAAGCAGATGAGATAACCACTACACCCACGGAACCTACAAAAATAATTTGCATTTGCAGCACGCATCGCCAATATTTAATAAAAGCTTAAAATAAACTAGTTGGTTTGGTATTTAGCCTTGAGGCAAGTTACATGAACTTCCCGATATGTGTAAATAATTGACTTAATCAAAACAAAGTGTAAATAATATACTTCATCAATCCTACTTGAAAAAACGATAATAATTTTAGAAAAGTTTGACGAATTTTTTAAAATTAAACTACTTGTCGTAAGGCCGTAATATTACAGTAAGATCTATAAGACATGATGAATATCGCCAAAAAAGTTCCATGAAAATCGGCTTAAATTTTTTTTTTCAACAGTTAATTACAAGAAAACGGCTCGGTAGATTTTCACCTAAAATTAATCAGTACCATTCCCAACTAATATCTTTCGAACAGTTTCTGATTTTTAAAATCGGTTCGGTAGGATGAGCTTAAATGTGGACGAAAAGTTTAACACTTTTTTCAACAGTTAATTACAAGAAAACGGCTCGGTAGATTTTCACCTAAAATTAATCAGTACCATTCCCAACTAATATCTTTCGAACAGTTTTTGATTTTTTAAAATCGGTTCGGTAGGATGAGCTTAAATGTGGACGAAAATTAACACTTTTTTTCAACAGTTAATTACAAGAAAACGGCTCGGTAGATTTTCACCTAAAATTAATCAGTACCATTCCCAACTAATATCTTTTGAACAGTTTTTGATTTTTAAAATCGGTTCGGTAGGATGAGGACGAAAATTTAACACTTTTTTTCAACAGTTAATTACAAGAAAACGGCTCGGTAGATTTTCACCTAAAATTAATCAGTACCATTCTCAACTAATATCTTTCGAACAGTTTTTGATTTTATTAAATCGGTTCGGTAGGATGAGCTTAAATGAGGACGAAAATTTAACACTTTTTTCAACAGTTAATTACAAGAAAACGGCTCGGTAGATTTTCACCTAAAATTAATCAGTACCATTCCCAACTAATATCTTCCGAACAGTTTTTGATTTTTAAAATCGGTTCGGTAGGATGAGCTTAAATGTAGACGAAAAGTTTAACACTTTTTTCAACAGTTAATTACAAGAAAAACGGCTCGGTAGATTTTCACCTAAAATTAATCATACCATTCCCAACTAATATCTTTCGAACAGTTTTTGATTTTTTAAAATCGGTTCGGTAGGATGAGCTTAAATGTGGACGAAAATTAAAACTTTTTTTTCAACAGTAATTACAGAAAACGGCTCGGTAGATTTTCACCTAAAATTAATCAGTACCATTCCAAACTAATATCTTTCGAACAGTTTTTGATTTTA